GTTTGTACTTTCAGCGTTAACTTGGTTTTAAAGCCTTTTCTTCTAAATATATATATAGGAGTCAACGATATTCGTATATATATATATGTATACATATGTAGATATATATAGATATATATATACATATATATATATCATAATAATCTGACAATACTATAATATTGGCCATATTATATTTACATTACCACAGTGAGATGACTTTAGTCTCATGAACAACATTAACTAATTGTTATTTACTAACTAATCTTAAATGACTGTTCAGCACAGAAATGAAGCCCAACAATCATGTTTTACAGTCCCGTGGTCTCAGCCTCAGATACTCAACTAATCAAAGTGATGTCATGACAAAAATGAATGACCAACAAAACATTTTTCTCCTTCATTTCTGTCACACAAAGCTGTATGTAACGTGTCTCGCGGTTAGTATCATGGTTGCTAGGCAACCTGAACAGCGCGACGAAGGCTAGACCGTCCCATTTCACAAGCCTCTCACTTCCGCACTTCTCGTACTTATAGAACGCACCGTACGTAGTGCGCGTAGTGCGCGTACTTCAAGCGTGCGGTCAGCCAACATGTCTTGAAGTTCTCCAGAGGCCTGGTAATGAACTAATCATTTGATTCAGGTGTGTTGACCCAGGGTGAGATCTAAAACCTGCAGGACAGCGGCTCTCGAGGCTGGGAGTTGGCCACCCCTGATGTAAATATAACTTGGCTGATACAAAAAAGCAAATAAATAGAAGACCCTAAGGATATATTTGGTTTTGAATGTAGTGTCTCCCAAAATAAAAGTATTTTTTCGTTAAAAAATAAAAGAAAAATATAACATTTATCAATTGATTTATAAACAAAGTGAAGTCAAAATATATGAATAATATTATAGGGTTTTTTTTAGCTTTTACTTGAGTGCAGCTGGATTCAGTGTCACTAAAGGGTTTTGAGTGTCTTGTGTTGGTCAGAAGTTAACAGCATCAGTGTCAGAATGAAGTGTAATGCACCTTACTCGGATCTACAATGTATTTTATATCTGTGTGTTCAATATTTTGTCAAGCTCATGTTGTCTACGTCCCCTTTTTGTCGCCCCCCCATGACGTTCAGGTTCATTCAGGTTCATTTTTGTCAGCTGTGTTTTCCCCAAGTATTCTCACTTCCCTCTTTGCTCTACTGCATATTTAAGTTCTCTGTCTTCCTCTGTTCAGTGTTGGGTTGTCTGTCCATCTTACTACAAGTTCTGTGAGTCTCAGCTCTTCATGTCTTGGGTTTCCCTGATGTTCATATTCAGGCTATGTTCATGTCATAGTTTTTCATGTTTTAGTTTTTCCCAGTTCAGGTTTCAGGTTAATTTTTCCCTATTTCACCTTGCCTGGTTTTTGTTTTTGCTCTCAGCCTAGTAAACGGCTCACTTTTTGTTAGTTTTCCTCTCCTGTGTCTGCTTTTGGTAAACACTGCAAACACACCCACCCGGGGGGCCTTAACATATCTATTTCTTTAATTCACAAATTTATTTTTTAAAATCCTAGATTGATTAATCTCTAATATTTGTTAGATTTATTGAATGGATTTCCTTTTAATATTCTCTATTTATGTCTTCTTACTGATCATTTTGGAGCTGACTTCCAGTATTTTTGTGTGTCAGGTTTATTTCATGGTTCAGTCACACTAGGACGTCAACCTCATCTGAGAAAAATTATTCTTTGCTAGTTATTGCTTTGATTTGTTTTCACTTTTGGTAACTGAAAAATATACAGGGAGTGCAGAATTATTAGGCAAATGAGTATTTTGTCCACTTCATCCTCTTCATGCATGTTGTCTTCCTCCAAGCTTTACTCCAACATGTCTTGAAGTTCTCCAGAGGCCTGGTAATGAACTAATCATTTGATTCAGGTGTGTTGACCCAGGGTGAGATCTAAAACCTGCAGGACAGCGGCTCTCGAGGCTGGAAGTTGGCCACCCCTGATGTAAATATAACTTGGCTGATACAAAAAAGCAAATAAATAAAGACCCAAAGGATATACTTGCTTTTGAATGTAGTGTCTCCCAAAATAAAAGTTTTTTTTTTTTAAAAAGATCAATTAAAAAAATATAACATTTATCAAATTAGATTTATAAAACAAAGAAAAGTTCAAAATATTATAATATAATATATAATAAGGTTTTTTTTGTATTTTTTACTTGAGTGCAGCTGGGTTTCAGTGTCACTAAAAGGTTTTTGATGTCTTGTGTTGGTCATGAAAGTTTAACAGCATCAGTGTCAGAATGAAGTGTAATGCACCTTACTCGGATCTACAATGTATTTTATATCTGTGTGTTCAATATTTTGTCAAGCTCATGTTGTCTACGTCCCCTTTTTGTCCCCCCCCCATGACGTTCAGGTTCATTCAGGTTCATTTTTGTCAGCTGTGTTTTCCCCAAGTATTCTCACTTCCCTCTTTGCTCTACTGCATATTTAAGTTCTCTGTCTTCCTCTGTTCAGTGTTGGGTTGTCTGTCCGTCTTACTACAAGTTCTGTGAGTCTCAGCTCTTCATGTCTTGGGTTTCCCTGATGTTCATATTCAGGCTATGTTCATGTCATAGTTTTTCATGTTTTAGTTTTTCCCAGTTCAGGTTTCAGGTTAATTTTTCCCTAATTCACCTTGCCTGGTATTTGTTTTTGCTCTCAGCCTAGTAAACGGCTCACTTTTTGTTAGTTTTCCTCTCCTGTGTCTGCTTTTGGTAAACACTGCAAACACACCCACCCGGGGGGCCTTAACATATCTATTTCTTTAATTCACAAATTTCTTTTTTAAAATCCTAGATTGATTAATCTCTAATATTTGTTAGAATTATTGAATGGATTTCCTTTTAATATTCTCTATTTATGTCTTCTTACTGATCATTTTGGAGCTGACTTCCAGTATTTTGTGTGTCAGGTTTATTTCATGGTTCAGTCACACTAGGACGTCAACCTCATCTGAGAAAAATTATTCTTTGCCAGTTATTGCTTTGATTTGTTTTCACTTTTAGTAACTGAAAAATATACAGGGAGTGCAGAATTATTAGGCAAATGAGTATTTTGTCCACATCATCCTCTTCATGCATGTTGTCTTACTCCAAGCTGTATAGG